AGAACTGTTATGGTGTTTTAAACTAAGGGGAAACAAGAAGGGCTTTCATTTTTTCTGTGAAGCAGATGGACCAAGGGTTTCATGTATGATTGGATTGGATCTATACTTAAAGTTCACAAATACCCAAAAGCCAACAATTGTGTGTGCTAAAGATATTTCAGATTTATCGAACGATGCACACACACACACACACACACACAAAGACAAGCACATTTCCTTGACAAATCCCACCTGTACACACAAGGCTCCCCCTGATATTGCCTCCTCTACTGTACATGCTCACATTTAACCAATCATGGTCCAAATCCCCACATGAATGTCATTGTTTATGCAAACGAGCCAGCTGATCGATTTTATTCCATGGTTACCAATAGCAACTACAGGGGAGAGTGAAATTAATAAATAAAATTTTTTAAAATAAATGGAAAAAAACAGTTTAACTAAGGCTGAAATTGATGTTTTGGTGAGTGATGTGGAGAGCTGGATAAATATGTTTGGTAGCCAATTCTATGGATAAATTCACAGAATTATTTTGTTTTTAAAGTTGCTTCACGCAATTAAATATTGTTGATTGTATTTAACATCTGTGGCAGAATTCATGCTGATAAGAATCCGACGGCAAGAACCCTAGACTGGTTAACAGCTACATGATTAATTCAACTAAAACATTGTTAAAAAGCCAAAAACCTACCAAGCATTCTATAAGCTTAAATTTATTTATTTAGTAATTTATCTATAAATACTCGCACATCTGACTGCTAACCAACCGTGTCCAGTTTTGAACGTACTGCATAATCTATTTAAAAATATGAATATTTTAATATAAATATTCAATTTCATACCATGGAATGTTGTCTATCCATATTTGTTTTTATATTCTGTAGTACCGTGCAGCCAGATACCCTTCCCTTTTTTGTACGGTAGAGTGTGCACTGACCTCCTGATGAAGAGGGATGGTGTGGGTCCAGCAGGTTGGCCTCTCCAACACTGAACCCGATTCACCACATAATCTAAAGAGTGATGCTCTAGAGAGTCATACTATCTAATAAATCAATCATTATTGCGGGTCAGGAAACCTTGGTGATCCCTAAAAATGCATCCCCCCTAATTCTCCCAATTTTGACATCCTCCAGCAGAGCATCATCCATTGCACATCATACACAAGTGTCACCTAATGTTAAATATTTAGAGCAATTAATGTGAAGACCTTACAACTGGTTAAATTGATGTACTATTCTGTGGTACGAATCACCATGTGATCAGGGAGAGAAGTGTGATGGTGAAAAAATATTTACATTTTGTGTGCATTTTGATTAAGGATTTGAAGTACTCATAGCCATTTTTATCATTTGAATGATCCTCATGTGTAGTTATATGAAAGCAAATCGTTACCATATTTCCAATGAAAAAGCATTTTCATTTTAAGAATGTGGCTGCATTGTTTGACTCAAAAATGAAATTAGTAATCAATAATCCTATTTGCATTTTCCTCTTTAACACTGCTCATCCTTTTACTTAAATAAAAAGAAAAAGACATTTGAGAGTTATTTTTCAAAATGTACCCAAGCAAATACATACCAAAATTCAGTTTGAAATGTAAAAGGCACGCCTTTACCCTGTAACCGCCCCTCTTGGGAGTGGGTACAGGGTTGTGCATGTGCATTTAAAAAAAAAAAAAAGAAAAAAAAAAGTCTTTTTAAAAATTCATGAAAATCCTCCACTCTACCTTTAACATGTATTTTGTGAACCTAGAAAAGACCTGGTTTGATGAGGCATTCTGTTTGGTAAGCTGTGAGAGCAGAGCCTGTCTGTTGCCTGGAAAACCAAAGTGAGATATGTTTCTACATCTTCAGCTCAAATTGAAATTCAGTTTTAATCTACCAGGGCTGCCCTTATGCTTTGATTTTTTATTTTTTTCCTTTTTGGATGTTCACACACAAGAGCTCAAGCTTTAGTTAAAACGATGAGCGTTTGAAGTGGTTTGATGTTTCTCAGTTTTTTTTTTCCTTTAACATTTTTTTCTGTGGCATATTTGGTCTCTACGCCGTCATTTTAGTGCCAGTGTGGTTTACAGCTAAGTGTGAAGTTGTGAACTTTTTCCTTTGAGCAGTGGGCAGGTCTCTACCTCAAGTGGAGGAGTGTGTTAGAATCTTTTAAAGTGATGGTGGGACAGAGTGGGAGAAGAAAAGACTGATTTGGGAATCATCTGTATGGCCGGGGCGGTGCCTGGTCTGTTTTGTTAAACAAGGGCAAAGTCTTAATCTGGATCTGAATAAACTTTATTTACCATGCATGTGTACAAATGTAGGGAATTTGGCTTTGGATTTTGAGTTTTTCTCCGAGATTCATCTATAGTTTAACCTTTACCTTGTAATGAGTTTTGGATCATTATTATGAAGATGCAATACAGCAAACAGGCAGCTCCTTTGTCCTTTATGCTCTGTCTTAGGGATGGTGTAAGATGCTGTCTCTCTCTGTTAAATCACCAGCTTGAACACCAGTCAGCTGATTATTCAGCATCTAAATATGATGCCTCCAAGTTGCTACTTAATAAGTTCTAGGCATGTCACGCTGGGATTGGATGATACCGTTTCTTTATTTATCTAAGGATCCCCATTAGTCTCTACCAGAGTAGAGTATACTCATCCTGGGGTCCATTTTCAACACAGATCATCACAATCAGTACATACAACAAACTCACAGTAGAAACATTAAAAAAATCAAAAAAAAAAAACAAAACATTATGTTTTCCGTAGTTAAACAAACAGAATTTTCTTTAATAATTATAGATTTCTTAAGACTTAATTTAAAAGAGACAAGTCTTTGTATAAATATCTTATTCTGTGACAACATATTCCACAGAGAGATACTATTATATTACTGTTAGGAATATAGGCTAATACCAATGTCTGTCTTCTGTGAGGAACATGTCAGCTACAAAGACATTGTTCCTAAAAGTGTCTGTAATTATATTTAATTACGATTTAAAAAGGTAGGAAATACCTCAACATAGAATGTTATGTAATGCAAGAGTTATTTTTAAAGGCACAGCAGCCATATTTATTATTATAAGAAGGATTGATATTGAGAACAGGTTGGTGAGAACCTTCTCTTCACCTCACTTCAAACAATTAAGAATGTGCTTTTGTTTTCTGGTTTTCTTTGGGACACAATACAACAAAATGTAAATCCCATCTCCTCTTGTACTTCCATTGTCCTCTTCTAGGTTGTTGATTGTATGGCAGAACTCTGAACACTTTGTAGTTGCTTAGGTACAGTAGGACTTGATCTAAAAGGTTTGAGAAAAACTTTACTACAGAGATATATTTATCTTCAGTACCACTATGACCAGATCAGAATAATAACCTAAGATTATCTAATAACCTAGAATTGGACAATGAAATTAAACTAGCAAAATGGGCCAATTTCATGCATATCACATCTTTACTAAGAGAACTGCACATTAGAGCCAAAGCAGTTTATTTTACTTTGATATTAATGATAGAATGACTTGCTCTTTTTTCCTTGAAATAAAGCAAGCCTCACTTCCTACCCTGCTCAACTGTAGTTTCTCTGCACATAATATGCACAGAATGTAATTGAAAAAGCAGTTGACACTATTGAAGATGATACAAAAACTGCACGAACTGCCACCATATAGTTCAGTTATTTTCATTAAAAGATTAAGTGGTTCAACCTTGTATTACTTTGTCTCACACAATCCAGCATTTGGTTTTACACTAGGCCCAGAGGTAGAATTTTATGAACTCAAAGCATTTTTTCTCAAATTAGAATAAAAAACGGCTTTTTAACACCCAAGCTTTTGACTTTTTAAGAGAAAGAGAGGATCAATTAGTCTGTTCCTATTACTCTTACTTCTGATTTCAACTTGGCAGGTTTATGTTGCAAAAGGTATTACAGTTGTAAATTCATCTAACAGGTAAAAACTTAACTGTGTTGATATAATATTGCTTTTCACTTTATTCCTAGATGGATCTTGAGCATGCCTAATAAGCTATAAATAACCCTTTTTGTTGATTAATGCCTGGTAGATTCAGGTTTACTAGAAGTCGTTCATTGTGACAAATGATTTGTAACTTCGGATCCCTGGATCTTAAAACTGTTGGCTGCCTGGCTCCTTGACCCACTTTTAATGGTAATTCAGCCTGAGGCAAAAGGATTACTTACTGTCTATAGAGTCCTGAAAGCACGAGAGAGGAGAATGACCTATTGTATAACACACTAATGTCTGGCTCTTTTGTGAACTGGAGGAAATAATAAACTGTGTTTCCATTAACTCCTAAATTGGGTTTGGTGAATTTCAGGCTACTCTGATTGAAATAAAATACCATAAAAGGTGTAATAGTGGTTTCATTTTCAGGTTAATAATGTATTTTATAGACATCCTAATGCATTTTTTGTACTTTTTTTTAGAAAAACCATACACTAATTACAGAGGTGTCTATTACTCTAAACAAGGCAATTAACAACATCAACAGTTTATAAGGACTATGACCTATCACAGGATAAAATGAGGTGTCTCACAGCAAAGTATAAAAAAGATTTAAAAAAAAAAGAAAAACAAGACCAAACATGGAACATCTTGTTAAAAGCTAACCCGAAATAAAAAGGTGTTCAGCTGCATTCAAATAACCTTTTAAAAGTGAGTAAAAGTGGGTTTCATTGTGTCCTACATAGAACACCTTGTTGTATATTGTGTGTGACAAATTAACTTACCTGTCAGATAACCTTTGAGGTAGTGTGGACTTAGAGTTACAGTATAACCTCTTTCTTAAAATCCTGATTTGGGGTGCATGAAAATAACAGCTGATCCTTTTATTTGAAGAAATCCACATGACCCATGGCTGCGTCACACATCAGTAATGCTTATCTTTAGTGGTCTGTTATCTTGTTATCTTGCTAATTAGCTATTTTAAATTTGTGCAAAATATGTGTGTCTTAATAATTTTAAATGGCATTTTTTACCCTTAAATTTGCAGGAATCATCAGAACTGCCTTAGCAGACATGGACCGAGAAGCCAGAGAACACTACACTGTTGTGATTCAAGCCAAAGACATGGCAGGCCAAGTTGGAGGGCTCTCTGGCTCCACCACCATCAATGTCACCCTTACAGATGTCAATGACAACCCGCCTAAGTTTCCCCAAAGTAAGTACTAGGAAAGTGGAATAATCCAAAAAATAAATAAAAAAGTTGACTAAGTCTCTTGTATGTGGTCTTCTTTGTTGAAATTTTACATCTCTTTCTCCAGGCCTCTTTAGTTTGAGGACTATGGTTAAATGTGGCCTTATAAGCAGAATACCTGGGGTAATCAATTTAAAATAGCTGTTTAGGTATTTACTAATTTTGTTAAAACTACCACTGAGGTTGCAGATGCTAAGAAAATGGCTAAGTCTACTTATTTTCAGTTTTGACACATCTGGATACACCTGATTTAAAATCACAATGCCACATTGGTTTTCATTACTAAAGTGGAAAAAGGGAGGGTCTTTGTGAAAAGTTATTCCAACAGAATCTATTCTTTAATACAAAATAGCTTTTGCATTAAACCCGATTTAGTAAAAAGAGGAAGAATGACACAGCTGTTTGGCAAAATAATGTTTATTTATATTACGAAAGATTAATAATATACTGCTTTATCAGATTTAGAAAGTTAATATTCTCATTATTTATTACACTTATTGTACAACCAAGTCTAATTTTGTAGTCAAATTTTCTGTAATTTGCTAAATCTGATGAATATTTATAAAATCCCTTGTTTTCTAGTCTGAATTCTCCATTATTATAAAATATTTAAGTAACAATAAGGCCTCATCAAGCAGATTGCCTTTTAGCTCAGAATTTCCCATTTATGCAACAGCAAAGAACCATTTCAAAATCATCAACATTTTTCTGACTAAATATCAGCTTCATTGCAATGCTATCAACCCCTCTTTAGTATTTAATGTCAATTGAAGCAGTGAGTATTTTTAATGACATCCCCTCAGGAACAAATAGTGACAGTCAAACTGCTCAGCAAAGCTCTTTTAGAAAACCAGTCACAGAAATGTGTGGTGCAGTGGCTGTCTTCTTTAAAATGTTCTTTTGCTTTCCTTAAGTGTCTATCATTGCTCTTCCACAGAAAATTACCAGCTGTACGTCCCCGAATCTGCTCAAGTTGGGAAACCAGTAGGGAAGATCAAAGCCAATGATGATGACCTCGGCGTTAATGCAGACATTAAGTACAGCATCATCAACTCAGAGGGGGCCAATATGTTCTCCATATCCACGGATAAAGACACAAAAGAGGGAATCATCAGTCTGAAAAAGGTACAAGGGTGCAGCTAAAGAGATATAAGCAAATAACCAAACTACATGAGTAAAAAAAAATGGTTTATTTAAATTGGCATTTCTGAAATATGTATATTTGTGCGTTCTCATGTGCTTGTGTACTTGTGAAATGACATCAGCCCTGTACTATTCCAATTCACAAGAACAACAGGTTGAGAACGGACAAAATTTAGTGAGTATGCATCAGAGCAGACTTGTCCGTTCTTGAGATTGACAGCTTTCCCAGCATGCACTGCGGCAGCAGCAGCAGCTTTCAATGGAGGGCTCACAGAGCTCAGAGTATTAAGTCAAAAGTTCTCTTTTCTGTTGCTGTTGTTCAGTAAAAGTACGTTTTAAGATCATTTGAGGCGAGCATATTATACTTTAAAGTGTCACTATACGGCCAATTTACCGATTTATTGCGCAATTTAAAGAACAATGTCCGCAGCATTGTTATTTAAATTGCGAACCACTGCAACTAGCGGGACTCCAAGGGTAACGGCAGCCAAGGCTAACCTCTGCCCGTCAGCAGCAGCCCTCTCTCGTCCTAGCCGTGTGTGAAGCACCGCTTTTGTTTTATTTGGCAAAATGTTCATTTCATTTGTGTTTATCTGACTGTCTTAATAATTTTTCCCCCACTGAATGAAAAAAGTAATAATTTATTAGTATCTAGAGATACTATTATATTATAACAGGAGGTGAAATGTAGGCATGTGGTGATTGACCCATATTAATGCTGAGTGCTCCTGTTCTCCCTGAGTCCAAACTTTCCTGGGTTCTTCTCAAGAACATACTTAGTGAGGACACGAGTCCATAGGAGCCCCATTTACCAAATTTATTTATTTATTTACTTATTTATATGTCTCCTACAACATCTTAAGCTTCCGTATCTGGCTTTGCTTGCTGTCTTTAGAGATTTGCTATAGTATTAATGGAACTTTTCTATTCCCAGATGTTAGAAATGGAAAGGCATTTTGAGAAGTTTTAGTTCAAAACTGTACAAACAAGAAAAAAAACAATGTATGTAACGTTTAGACTAAATTAAGAAAGTACCTAACCTTGCTTACAAAATAGTGTTTTTGGTGCTCTGTTTGCATCTCCTGTCCATCAGTTCTGAACCCAGGTTGTAATGAAGCAGGATAAAATATTTCCCAAAATGTCAGACTACATGTTGCACATTACGTATAAAAAAAAAAAAAAACTAGCATTCCCAGATGGTAACCTTTGACATACACTATGTTTTGTTTCTTTTTTGTTTGTTTGTTTTTCAGTCATGGGTGCAGATATAAAAGGAAGGATTTTGTTATAAGAATTTCCTGAAGATGAGGTCCTTTTATTTCCAACATGTTTGACATGCATTATAGGACACACCCAAGATCCTCAAATGATAACACATAGCTAAACTAACACCAGACATATGGTTATAATTTGGTAATATTTATAACTGGTACTCATTTTAAAAGTACAAATGATAACCTGTGACTATAATAACAAAGGGGTGTGTGTACACTAATCTCAAAAACCTCTGTCTTTTTCCTACAGCCTCTGAACTATGAAAGAAAGAAGACCTACACGCTACACATTGAAGGAATGAATACACATGTGGACCCACGGTTTTCCTACCTTGGAGCTTTCAAAGACACTGCTACCCTTAAGATTACAGTTGGGGATGTGGACGAAGCCCCCGTGTTTTCTATGGATTATTATATTTTGGATGTTTATGAGAACTCCCCAAGTGGCACAGAAGTGGGCTCCGTGACAGCTCGAGATCCTGACAGCAGAGGCAGTCCTGTGAGGTAAGGAATTTGCACTAAATGTACCATTCGTGCAAAAGTTTTTAAAAATTGATTCTTCCCTTCCTCAGACTGACAAGCGCATACAAAGGAGGCCCAAAGCTTTCTAATGCCACAGGGGTTATTTTAAGGTTCTGCATTTTTTTTTTTAGCTGACTTGCATTAGATAAGAAGCATTTGGTGTTTGGTTTTATCTTAAATCAAAGGGTGTTTTTTTTGCAGATTAAATTATATATAAACATATACGATAATTTTTCCTAAAAGTCTTTTTGAATAAGCAAAACTCATATTTGCATGATGAACAGAATACTGGAAAGAGGTTATAAAAGCACAATTGTCTGACATTATCTTATACTTACTTCAATAGTCAGATATTTTCATTGATCTTGGTCAGTATTACGTCAGGTTTCTGCAGGAGGCTAAGGTCTATTTTTCCATCTGTCCTTGTACCTGACTCTGACAATGTATTAAGAGTTGAATTCTTAAGAATTGGGGAAGTAAGTGGGTGGAGAACAAAAGAAAAACTGTCTGGCATCAAAAACCTCTTTACACTGCATGAGCAATCTCTGAAAATCATGTGTTTAAAAAAAGGGAAAACAACTTTAAGTTGTATATGCCTTTGAAGGTCCACTATTGGTTTTTCAACCAAGAACTATTTTGGAAACACTGGGTGATATTAAATTCATTTTTTTTCACCCAAACTATTATAATTTCCTCTTTTCATATTTAAGTTTGTGACTGCATTTATATTAGTATATTGGATATTATAATGTGACTTTTTATGGAGCTTTTTCTAGTGGCTTTGGTGGCCTATTGGTTGGAAAGCAGAGCTTCTGCATCCTGAAGAGGTCGTAAGTTTGCTGGTTCAAAGCTCAGATTGTCTCTCTGTGTGCATATGCTCCCTGTGTGCTACTTGGTGTGGCAGCACACTTCTCCCTAAGGGATAAAAGCAGAGAAGAAATGTTCCTACTCTTGGTCTATAAGAGGGTCTTTCTCTTCCTAATTTGCAAATGCTGTTCAGTGTGCGTGGTAGAACTTGCAATTTATGTAATATATATATATATATATATATATATATATATATATATATATATATATATATATATATATATGAAGCTAAGGCGGAAATTCAACTGAAGAAACTCTGATTACTTCCATTCAATCCGCCTGCGATGCAGCCAACCCGCTTCAAGCCACTTTCCTCGATGCCCAATCATCTTCCAGCACTCTACTTAAAGCCACTCCAAATCATCTCTAGGTCTGCTCTTCAACAAGCGCAAGATCCATCGCTCCTATGT